GGGCTGGACCAAATGACCTCTCATTTCCATATTTCATGACGTAGTTGTCACTCACTTTTTAAACACTCACATCAAACTCCTTCTTAGGTATATTTGTGAGGTACAAAAACCTAAAATCCCCATTGTCAGAATTTAAATCATAAACAAGTGTGCACATTATTTCCTCCTTAACTATGGAGCAACACTTAAGTATAAACATATAGATAAAAGGTAAAAGAAAAAACTCGTCTTTAAGTTATTATACCACTTGGGAAATCAGTGGGTTCCAATTCACGTGATTAATGAAACACTGCCATGCATATAAATCTAAATCTAAATCCAAATCCTTTCTTAATGTGTGCGATTTGGGGCAATAATGTCTAATTCACTGATAATAGACTAGATCCTCTTATCAATCTGGCTTTTTATTTCATGGTTATCATTGATGCCATTTCAAATGCCTTGTAGTTATCAAGGACAAAATGACAGAGACTCCTAGGTCATGAGGAAACCTATCTTGGTCAGGAAGCTCATAAAATGCTGACCTCACACCACAAGGCGGCCCCTGAGAGTATATGCTTGTATATGCAAACCATGACCATCTCGTTCTGTGTCATATCCCCCTGAATCTTTGTCTCCTATTAGCTCTGTGACCTTGAGCATGAAGCTTAACCATTCTGTGCCTCAGTTTCCTCATCTGTTGAATTTGGGTTGTAGTAAGAACAAAATGAGTTAACACTTGAAAAATGCTTAGGAGGGCATTTGGTAAGTCTTAAGAGTGTTAGCACAGATATGAGTCCTGTTGTTATTATCATCTCCTTATTTGGTGAACTTTTATTTGTTCTTTCTGCTCTAGCTGTCTAAGCCCTCCTCTGAGAAGCCTTCCTGACTTTCATAGACAAGGTTAGTAATCTCTTCTTCTGTAGTTCCATACTTCCTTGATTCTTAAGAAATTTGATTGTCATCATTTGCTCTTACATCTGTCTTGCCCACTGATCCTGTCTGGCCCCTTGGTTGGTGTTGGTGTCATTCTAAAGTAGAAACAATGTCCTCTGTGTATCCATCCCAGATACTGCCATATCACCTTGCACATGTGAATTGAGGAATGAATTTGTTCCTGGTAAGTTTATTGGTAAAGAATTTAGGCTGATTCTAGAAATAATAAATCATTTTGCTTAGTCTTAACCTTTTTAAAAGGTTCACTTGAATTAGAATATCACCGTTTTGTAAGAATAAAGGAATGAATCTACTCAATGATCAATGGCTGCTGTATCAGAACATAATAGATACAACTGGATATTATGAGCCTCCTGATAGAGAAATCAATGCTATCTCTAAAATAGTCCTTCCTCCAACAGAAAAGCAAACTTGAATTAGAGCAAGCCTCTTCATCCTTGATCATATTCTAGGAAATACAGAAGGCAGAGGGACGTGTTACTAATTTTAGTGAAATTAGTAAAATCTAAACCATGACTAACTCTACAGACAAACTCTCCAAGATAAATGAACAAATAAAATTCAGGGGAAAAAAAGAAAAAGAGAAAGCTGTAGATTGAAAGAGATTTAAGATTCTGCTGAGATGTTCACTGTAAAAAAAAAAAAAAAAGAAAGAAAAGAAAGAGACTTACAATACATGTCAACAAATTGCAATATGTGAACTGTACTTGGATCCTGATTCGAACAGGATCCAAATACTAAAATTCTAAAATAAGTTAAGCACTGACTGGATATATGATAATATTTTTGCTTGGTCTGCAGAGAGTTTAAAACTCTTTTGAATGCTTTTCTAGACTTTAAAACTCATAAAATTTCACATAATAATCTATATTTTAGGGCTTTATTTAATAGAAAAATCAGAAGAGCCAACAGCAGTGGGCCCACGTTTCTACATAGTCATTAGAAGTTAAAGTTCTGAAGTAGGTGAGAGATTTGTTGAATGTAACATTTTAAGGAGTAACATAAAGACCGTGTTTAAAGGAGAAAATTCTAAAATCAGAAATGCTTTTTAAATATGGTTTAAAATAATGAGGTCCTGGCCAATGTAGAGGCAGAGGGAATGAAAAGAAAGGAGGAAGAATACATGTGCAGACCTGGCAACAGGACTTGGTAACAGAATGGACTTAAGAACTGAAGGGAGGGATGAGTCATAATTGGGTCGTTCTTTAGCGTCCATGGCCAGAAGAATGAGGGTATGGAGGCAGGACCTTTGCCACGTTGGGACCCTTAGAAACTGGGACAGATGTTGATTTTGTGTTGGAATCTTTTGGAAGATGGCAACACAAGAGATCAGTATACAAACTTATTTAAACTAAATAATGGTGTAATATCCACATCCGTATCTTGAAGACACTTAGAAATAGGGAAACGGGCTTTGTGTAAGAGGCAGGAAAGGTAGATATTGGAAAATTGCTCAGTTCTCTACTGACTGCTTCAAAAGATACAAGACTAAGACATAATCACCCCTCCACTCAGGAATTTTAGAGTGAGAACAGAGGAGAGAGGTGTACAATGAGTAAAGATGCACATGGCCAGTGTACATTGGATGAATGTAATGCAAAAGAATGTTTGTATGTTCTGAGGACATTTCTTGAAAGAATCGCCTCTTCTTGAACATGCCATGGAGGAATAGTAGAGACAGCACAAGAATGTGGAATCAATATAGCAAATTTTGTGCTGACTCGACCAATATTTAATGTGCTCCTAGTAAGTGAACAACACACACAATGTATCTCTCCGCTTGCCAGATATCACACCACGTGTTAATATCATATATGTGCTAACATGCTTGATTCTCTCCTGTCTGCCCCAGTGGAATACAAGCTCCGTGAGAGCAAGAACTTCCTCTCTTTTGTTTCCCAGAGTATCCTCCAGGCTTAGGACAGCTTATGAAACACAATTAAGTTCTCAGCCAATATTATTTGGAAGCGTTTGTCATCACAGAGTTCATACCCCACAATCAGAGGCAGAAAACTGAGCAGGCAATGCCTATACAGTGTGACCAGAGCGAAAAGTTCCCAGGCCATGGAAGCGTGTAGGTGTGGCCCGGAAGTATCACTTGGAAGAAAAGCTTTTGTAAAACCCAGCTGATAGCTGACCTCACAGGAAGAGAAACAAGAGAGCTCATTTTCTTTGCAAATTGATTAAACAGCTGGTACCGAAAGACACACAACCCAAAGCTACAAGGGTGACAAAAATCACACCAATTTTGACTTCTATCTCCAGCTAACACCCACCTTATATAAATTAAAATTCTGGGTGTGATTTTCTCACCAAATTTACGGGTCCCTGATGCCATTTAAATGGGGAGTGGAGAGACCCAAGCTGAAGCTGAGAATATCCATGGCATTCGTGAGCTACACAAAATCAGCTTAGCCTTGGTGGAATTCATTTAAAGCTCTGGATGAGGGGTGTGTGTGTGTGTGTGTGTGTGTGTGTGTGTGTGTGTGTGTTCAATTAGAACGCATTTGCAGCCATGGGAAGGGAATCGGTGGACAGTCATCATGGCTGGAATACCAACACTTCCCCTCTCACCCCAGCTAGCCCGTCTGAACATCAGGTAAGCACCACTGCCCACTTATCAAACGCTTCCATTTGCAAAGCAGCAAGAACTTGTCAGATACAGATGGTGATGCTGACTTCTCAATAGGGGAAAAAAAGGGCCTAAATTAGACTTCTATAAAAAGAATATTGCATATTTATTTCCACAATAACACCCAGGAAAAACGTTAGTCAAGAAGCAAGCAATTGGGTGAATAAATAAGCTTGTCTTTGTTCTCATCAATTAAGTTATTACATCAGTTGGAAAACCAGTGAATAATAATACAGATGTTTAATGAAACACTGCTGAGCCTATAAGTCAAACTCCTATTTTGTGGTGTGATTTTGGCTGCATAGTTTTGTGTGTGTTAAACCGTATTTATTAGCTGATACCCATTATTATTTTGAGCAAGGTATAATTCAGTTGTCAGGCTCCATCGCAGGCAAGGAGATTTAATCAGTAAGAGCCGCTTTGCTACTGAGTATAAAACAATGTGGGTTTCATGAAGCAATCACGGCAGTGTGAAAAAATGGGATTAATTAGTATTGTACAAGAACAGGCAGCATGCTCATTAAAACCTTGTGAGGTGGCTCTTGATAAACTGCCACTTGATAGGACCGCATTAATGTGACAAGGCAAAGACTTCATTTCCAAATCCTTTCTGATTGTATCTCGCTTTTTAAGTTACCTGAAATGACCCACACTGGTGTTTGGAATACAAAGATCAAAATGACTGCCAGGGATCCCCGGGCCACCTGGACCGAGGAATCCAAGCATAGATGGGGAAGCTTCAAAGACAACTTTTTTTGAACTCACAGTCAAACATGAATCAATAACTGCAAATGAAGCAGCGCCAGGGGTGGTGGATTTGCATTCGCACTCGGCAGGTTGGGCAGAAACTAATTTGACAATTGGCAACCCACCTTAATGAAGGCCACATACAAATCCTCTGTCTGTCTGTTTACTCAGTGCTGGTGATGTTTGGAAACGTATATGCCTGAGAAAGCTATCAGGGGCTCCAGAGAGCAAGGGGGCAAAGTTGGAGGAAAAGAGGAAGGCAGTAACTCAGCCAGCCCTTTGCGGCACCTTCCTGTTAGTGCCCACTGATAATCGCGGTCACGCGTCGCTTAACACCAGGGGGTACCTTCTGAGAAATGCATCGTTAGGCAATTTCATCGTTGCGTGGAACATCATAGAGTATACTTGCACAAACCTAGATGGTATAGCCTACTACACACCTAGGCTTATGCTACAAACCTGTATAACGTGTTACTGTACTGAACACTGTAGGCAATTATTATAGGACGGTAAGAACTTGTGTCTCTAAACATAACTAAATATGGAAAAGGTATAGTAAAGATACTGTATCATACTCTTAAGGGGGCACCATCCTATAGGAGAACCCTGACTGCATATAGATTTCCAAAGCGTTCTCATGGTTCCTAAAATGTATAGTCATTAATTATTTTGCTTTGTTTCCACAGTAAAAGCATCTGCGCATGAAAAAAAGCCCTCTGAGAACAATCTGCTTTGGGTAAGGAGCATTTCTGATGTGCATTGGACTCATTTTCCCCTTTGGGCACCCAATTTTATTCTCTTTCAAATGTGGAACGGTTTGGGTCACATCTTCATACTGCAGTCATTTGGGGAGGGGGCGTGAACTCACGTTAATATCTCTGGAATGCATTCTGAACAATTTATCAAATCCATAGATTCCTCAAAGGATCTTTTCTTACCTGCATCCTTCCAGCATCTTACTTTCCTGGTGGCTTTAGCTAACACAGCATGTAAGTCAACTCTACATGCTACAGCTATTTGTTGGGGATAATTCCTAGGACTAGAAAATGCTGCTCAGAAACCTCAAAGTCTCTGCACCCCTCCCCCAATTATTTTACTAAAAAACATCTTTTTAAATCTCACCAGCATATTAAATTAATGCTTTCTACCATGAAGCTCAAGTATTCAGCTCACAATTATAGGTTGTTTGCAATTGAACTTGGGTAATTCCACTGCAGTGTGCAGATTCAAGGCACTGGGCAGAAGTCAGGCTACCTGAGCAGGCTAGATAGGATTAAACACACTGCTTTATCAAGTGATGTGTTGCAATATTATTAATTTAAACCCTAACATCTCATTGTTGTGATCTGAGCTGCATGATGTAATGCAATATGACAGCCATTGAATTAATAGAAAATGGAATTCATCTCTCAAAATTTCACACAAAATAAAGGCACAGAGACAGACAACAATAAAGGGAGAAAGACAGACAGATAAATACCTATAACACTTTTTCTGTATTCAAATGAGTCTGCCCCTATCTGGCAGCATTTGGAGTATTATATAGCATCAGCCCATTTGTGCAGAGATCCACCATCTTATTTATTCCTCTGTAATGCAAAGTAGCGAATATGTTCCTATTTTGTTTCTTTTATTTCAGCAAGTGAATTGCATAGAGGTAATATGCTGGAAGTGGAGGTTCAAGCATTACCATTTATGCATGACACAGTAATAGGAAATTTTCTGCCCCTCTTAGCTTGATGAGAACCTTCTGCAAAGACCCTACAACTCCTTCAGGTAGTAGCCACCTACTTGATTTATAATCTCACAGTGGCGGAAGAGCTTAGCTGGGTAATTTAAATCAGTAGATTTCACTAATGAACTAGGGCCAGGGAGAAAGCACTTTACATTGTAAAGGCTCCATTTCACCTTCCTTTTGCCCCACATACTTTATCTCCAAATTTTTACATTATTTATATAAAAAGGGAAATGGTTCTCTCACAGGAAAATGAGTGAGCAAAGCATCTCCACTGATAGACTATCTCCTACAATTCCCTGCAAATCAGATACCCTCTCTCGGGGTGATAAAATAGGGTGACTAGATTTAGCAAGTAAAAATACAGGATGCCCACTTAAATTTGAATATCAGATAAACAATAAATAAGGCAATGTTTGGGACATATTTATATTAAATGTCATTGGTTGCTTACCTAAATTTCAAATTTAACTGGGCACCCTGTATTTTATCTGGAACCCTAAACTCGAAAGAAGATAGACAGGAGGCATGCATACTTAACCCTGTAAGGGCCCCACACGAAATGTCAGAAGGAAACGCTCTGCAAAGCTTTGGAAAACCGACGTTCAGAGCAGCCTTCTGGCATCTCTGCCTCTCAGTCGAGCATTTTTATTCAGCAGATTACTAAAGGCTTCACTGAGCTTTGAAATAAACTATTGGTCATTATTTTCCCCACATGGATAAGCACATTTTAAATGATGTTTCCTTCATATTAACTTCAATGAGACTTTGCTACTGTTGTAGTTTGTATAATAAAATATACAGTGGATCCTGAAAAATCCTAGAATGTTCCACCCACACCACCACAAACACCAAATATCTCCATCTATCTCTGTAGACTGCAGATTGAAAAATATCGATCTTATATTTCCCCAAAGAACTGAAAACAGATACTCAAACAAATACATGCAGGTGCATGTCCAAAGCAGCACCACTCCCAATAATCAAAAGGGTTACCGAAACCACCCAGAGGGCCATCAGCTGATGAATGGGTCATCACAGTGTGGTCTATACCCACAATGAAACATTCAGCCATAAAAAGAAACAAAGTACTGACACATGCTGCAATGTGGCTGAACCTTGAAAGCTATGTTAAGTGACAGAAGCCAGACACAAAAGGTCACATATTCTATGATTCCTTTTATATGAAACATACAGAATAGGTAAATCTATAGAAACATAAAGCAGATTAGGCATTTTCAGGAACCAGGAAGGGTAGGGGGTTGGGGTAGGATGGATAGTGACTGCTAATACATGTAGGTTTCCTTTTGGGGAGATGAAAATGTTTTGGAACTAAACAGAGGTGTTGGCTGCACAGCACTGTCAATGTACTACCTAAATGCCACTGAACTGTTTACTTTAAAATGATTAATTCTGTGTTATGTGAATGTCATCTCAATAAAAATAAATACATAAATAAACAAACAAAATCATCAAATTTCTTAAGGAGAAAATGAGATTTGTTAGTCTGCCTTTGGTCTCATTCTGAATTTTTTACCAGCTACAAAAAGACCTTCTCATTTTCTGTAATGCTTATTAACTAAAAGACATTTCCATATAAGATATTAAACTCAACTAATGCAAACTGAACACCAATGAAAGAGTCCCGGGTAACTACATGGACCCTTTATGCAGATCAGAAAGGGGTCCCCATCTGAGGCTACTTGATGCATTGACAGTTTGAGATCCATATATATAGCCTGTGTTGTATATTCTTTTTTGTCTTTTTTAAAAAAATAACCCTTTAAAAATGTAAAAACCATTCTTCACTGTCAGGCCACACACAAAAAAAAAAACACTCCACAGGGTTGAACTGGCCCACGGATAGAAGTTTACCAGCCACTGCTTTATGTCATAATTCAGGTGTTGGTTACGTGGACATATGCATTTGTCAAAACTCATTGAACAATACACTTAAGACTTATGCCTTGTACTGCATGTATTTCTCAATAAAATATAGAACAGTGCCTGGTAGTTGAGTTAATGGTCAAATAAACATTAGATGATATTATTTTAGCTTCATATAAATGATATACTTATTTATTTTACATTATAGCAAGGAATATATAATTCTTCTACATTGTAAGAAAAGTCCAAGCAATATCTTTTAAGGTCTCCATGAGATTCCCTCAACTCCCTACCACCACTTACACACTTCCATTGTCTTTCCACAAAGAGAATGTGATTTATTAGGGCAGCATCTCAAACCTGGGAACACTCCAATCCAGAGAAAGTATTCTCAGACCTCAAGAGGTCCTTGAACCCTCGTCAGGAAGACAGACATCCATGATGAACCAAACGCAAGAAGTAGCCGCAAGTCCACAAGGTCATCTTGCCTTTGATTAGCGTGCTGCTCATCTCCCTTCCCAATTAGAGCTCTCATGTCAGTGCTGAGAAAACGCTTTTGAAGAAGTGCAATGCGTCACGCTTAAGATCCAACCAGATAACAATTTGAAACATTTCCAAAGGCTACGGCACTATTTCTAGAATATATTCTGTACCTTCCTATCTACTCACGTACATAAGAGCACCACTTTTCACTCATGCTGAGGAATATTCTCTGTGGAACCAGCAATTCAATAGTGCTGAGCAAAGCAGTATCAGAGAGCATCATGGGGAAAGCTCCGTGTGGAACGGACACTGTCTCATCTGTTTCTAGCCGCAGAAGCCCTGATCATGGTGGCGACAGGTAACATAAAAGTACTTTGCTAATTGAAGCATAACAGGGCACTGGGGTGTGGCTACCACAAACCAAATTATTGCACTTTTTCTTAAAATTCCCATCAGAACCCTGAAGTCGAGAGACTGTGGTGGGGATGTTATTCCTAGCTAGGGCTTCTTCCTGTAATTAAATTATTCATCTCTCTCTCTCATTCTATGAGAATATATGAATATGACAGATAATAGCGATGGGAAAGAAATAAACTGCTTAATTAATGGAATTAATTTAATTATATTGAACAGTTTTTATCACTAATTATGTCTCCGTGAAAGGAGGGAAGGAACAAAGAGGTGTCGATTGCCATCCTTAGGGAGCCGACAGTCCTGCTGGGCAGATAAGGTGAGTGTCCAGACACCGCCATTACAACAGGCATGATGCCTGGCCTTCAACTTTGGGTGCCTGACTCATTTAATCCTAACCACCACCCTGGAAAACAGACACTATTTTTTATATGCATTTTACAGATACAATAACTGAGGCCAGTCAAGTAACCTGGCTGAGATTTGACCCCAAACAATAAGAAACATTAAGTGATGGAGTTAACATTAGAGCCTGACTCTAACTTCTATGCTCTTGAATCAGATCTCTTTACTGTGTTCCCAAATACAACTGAAAATATAAGTAACAATGGGCCGCACTGTAGCTAACATTCCAGAAAAACACCCAAGATGAGTAAGGACTAGAATGGAAAGACTGTAAATTAAGTAAGACTTTATCTCCAACTGAAAATAGGAGTAATTTCTGGGTGTGCAAAGATAGGAAAGGATGGCGTTTCACAAGGAGACCCCAACTCATCTGGGCTAGATTCCTGGAAATGTCACTTTAAAAAAAAAAAAACACATGAAATTCTCACAAGGGAACTTCAGTCCAATTTAAACAGCTTCAATTCATTTGCTGTCAAGCATTATCTTTTTACAGATACCCGATCTGTTAAAATTGATCAGAACATGATGAATCTTTCAAAAAAATTACTCTTCCCAAAGATGGGAACAGAGACATGTCATAGAATTTGGGGCAACTACTCACATTAGAGTACTACGGGAATGCCACAATTTTGCCTGGTAAATGGAGATGGGTACCCTGTCTCAAATACAAGCTGATGCATATTTTATGTGCATGGAGGTTGTTGGGGAGAGAAAGGGGGACCGTAGGTATGAAGAAATGGAAAATAATTCCAAAGAAGTATCCAGTCTAGAAACATCTAACATGTTTCACTTCTCTCTTCCATGCTCAACAACTAAGGGCTGAGTAACTTTCCTAGACTGTTGAAAGGGCAGCTGAGTCCTGGAAATGCCCTTTGCACAACTCCACCCCCCCTACCCCCTCACTCCCGCAGCTGGGAGGACCCTCCCCTGCCACCCCTTGGCAGAGGGATTCTGGGGATTCTGGAGAGCAGGGAGGAGGAGCCTTCGCAGTGGCTCCTTGTGGCCTCTGTTACTATGGCAACCTTCCCCTTTGTTTCCCTGGATCCAGAGCTGCCGCCTCATTGAGCGACTGGCATTCAGGTGAGGCAGCTGCGTGATGGCATTAGGAAAATGAGGAAGCGGAAAAACAAAACTGCTTGAGAACACACACACACACACCACACACACACACACACACACACACACACACACACACACACGTTTCCCGGCCCCGAGAAGCCTTTGTCGGGATGAGTTCCCAGGCCTCTTGCCGCTTTCTCTTTAAGCCAATCAGCGTCACAGGATTGTGTTGAATAATATGCTTGGAGAATTTTTGCTTTATTCTGGCTGTCATTTGGATATTTGCCTTTCACAGGTTCTTCCTTGTCACCTGCAATGCTTTGCTCTTCCTCACCCCGTGGAGAGGTCGCTTCCCCTGCCAGGCTTTCCCTGACCACCCCCTCTACCCTCTGCTAAGATCCTCTCTCCTCATCCTGTTTGCTTCCTTCCCTTCCTGGCAGTGAGCACAATTCCTGACTATGTCATTGACTGCCCTGCGTTCAGCAGCTTTTGATCTGCCTCCCCAGCCAGATTCAAAGCTCCATGAGGGCAGGACACGCCATTCTTGCACAGAAATGTGCCATGCACACAGAATCCAATAGATGTGCATGAGATAAATGAATCACGTGATAATCGTGAGAGTATGAGCTCGGGAGCTGAGCTACTTACTGAGTGCTGTTCCAGTGGCTTAGAGTCTCTCAATTCTCCTAAATGAACAATAAACGAGAGTCATATTAAAATCGTAGAACTTGACCTGAGTCTCAACTCCACTGTGCTCTCACTGCACTGCCTGCTTCATTCCCTCATCTTCCAGGAGCCTACTCGTATATTTACAACTGAGTAGTGTAGGGAACAGGAGAATGTAAAGTTGTCATTTTAGGACTAGGGCAAATTGAGCATCCTTTGACTAGGTATTATCCCATCAGCTTGAGACCCTAAGAAAGGAAGGACCTCAGTACCTTTATATGTCAAATGGTCTTTATCATAGAGAGAGGGAAGAGAGAAGGTAGGATAAGTGAGAAAGAAAACAGAGAAAGTGCCACAAATGCACAACATCCTTTCCCCATCTGCTCATTTGGTTCTTCAGGATGTCATGAGGCTTATTTACTTTCTTGATCTCCCTGTTTAGAAAGTTCTACAAAATGAAATCTATTGGTTGTGGGAGGTAGGCATTCCCCTACCCCATACTGGAATATCTTTTCAAATTTATAGTGGACATGAATGAGAAATTGGATGCATTTTATAGAATAGTATATTTTAGGCAACTTTGATGGGACTTATTCTTTCCAAGATACAGAAGCATTTGGCCAAGTAAAATGACTCAGTAAGAATGTATATCACTCTCATACACATGCAAAAACATTACCAAACAAACAAAAATAAAATTTAAAAACTTAAAAGCTAACATGACAAGATCTGTTAATTCCACAGAAGGCATATCAGAAGGTAATTTTAGAGATGACTTCATGGAAAGGCAAAGTATCATACCTTCCTACCTCTAAAAATAATTCCTGGAAGGGAGAGCTATGAGCCATTGACTCCTGGTAATTTGTCAGTGATCATACTAATGACAAAACCAGAATTATTTCAAGGAGCTGGAGGTAACTCTACCTTTTCTGACAATCCAAAATTTATCTCATATAAGATTCTCTACCTTATTGACTCATCAACCAATGGTCTATATTGCTCCTGCTTTGCAATATTTTAGGCTTAATGGTCTGAGTTGAACATAACTGGCCAAGCCTAAGTTTTGAGCCTGTGTTAGAAGCCTGGCTTCAAGGGAGCCAGGAAAAGGAATATCTGGTCTTCAGGGCTGACATGTGGCATGTGGGCTCTACCTTCCACCAAGACACATATCATGGGAGATCATGGTTAGGCACAATCAAGTACCAATGTCCACTCTGGAAATGCAATTGGTTATGCAAGAATTGATGAGTCTCTTGACCCAAAACTGTTTAAGGAGAAATTGGATGATCTGAAGGGTTGTTGGCAAACTTTTTTCTATAAAAGCCCAATAGCAAATATTTTATGCTTTGTCATCTCTGTCATAACTACTCAACTCTGCCATTGTAGCATGAAAACAGACATAGAAAATGCATAAGCAAATGAGCATGGTTATGTTCCAATAAAACTTTAATTACAAGAACAGGAAGCAGGGGCCAAATTTCACCTGCAGACGCAGTTTGCTGACCCATAGTTTACAGCATGTGTTCTGGGGTCCGGTTGCCTGGGTCTGACCTCAGTCACTCCCATCACTGGCTATGTGATCTGGGGTGGTTTTAATTAAATCTTCATTTCAATGTTCTCATCTGTAATGTGTGACTCTTAATAATGCCCCCTACACAGAGTTATTATGAAAATTACATATCATCTGCACAGTGAATGAAACAGGGTCTGAGGCCTGTGCTCAAAGAAGTTCACTATGTGCTGCTATTCTGTAGGGAATCTCAGCATCAGATAGGAGTACTGTGCACAAGTTTACTTAGCCTCCCTATTATCCTTTCTTTGGAGACAGCCCTCCCTCTACCAAACAGATCCTGCACAGTTTATGTTGGGGGTGAGGTGGACAACATAATTTCTTTGTTCCAATGATGGGTGACCCCAGTCACACCCAATAGAACTTTCTTCCTCTCTGGCCATACTGAATATTTTTTGGTGGGCGCATGACCCACGCTGATTTCTCCCTGAGACTATTGTCTATTAAAAGAGAATTCAATAAAAATAATTTGAAAGGTCCAAACCCAAGAATCAATAAAAATACTATTAATATAAAATAAATGTCATAGAACCTATAGAGCTGTGGTTCTCTACCAGGCATACCTGGGAGGTTTTTTTTTATTATTATTATTTGTTTCTTTGTTTGTTTGAAGCACAAACTTGGTCCACTCCAAATAAATCTAATCAATCAGTATCTCAAGAGAAGGGACCCTGGTATAATTCTCTAATTAAAAAGCAATTTTATAGAAACGCTACATTCCTACAGACAACTGAACTATGCTTTCACATTGTATTTAGATCCCCAAAAAGGAGTATGTGGAATAAAACTGGGGAGAGAATTCATTCAACTGCAACTTAAAAGATATTTCTTATAGTAAAAAATTATGCCATAGATCTATAGGTTAGGGAAACAGATTAACATTAAGAATGATAGAAAATAAATAGCCGTATTAGCCAGGATTCTTTTTGGTTGCAAGTGACAGAAAACCCAAAAGGTTAAGTTAAAAGGGGGAAGACAGACCAGCTCACATAATTGGGAAGTCCAGGGTTAGTGGCTACCATTAGGTAAGGCTGGACCCAGAAGGTCAGGGTTGTCCAGGCTCTCTTGTTTTCTCTATTTTAGGTCCTGCTTTCCTTTGCTTGGATGTGTCCTTCAACATGACAGAGGAGACAATCCCACACGCTCTACCCCCTACAAGCCACTGTTGAAGCTCATCAACTCCAGTGGAAAGAGGATTTCTTCTCTTCAATGTCTATTTGTTAATTTCAGAGAAGACTCCAAACAGCTGAGCTAGTTAGTAGTTCATGCCTAGACCAATAAGAGTACCAAAGTCATGGGTCCTTTTATGAGAGGCCCATTCATAGTCACATGCCATGGAATAGGAGATCATAATTAAAATTCCTGGTATGAGGAAAGAGGTCAGCTGCCTCCACCCAACCCTGCAAAGGAGTGATGGAGAGAGAAAAGCCAACATGTGACCACAGTGAGTCCCGCCAAAGACTTTCCTTTATTCTTCATTCTCAGTGACCTGCCAATGACTCCCAAATGGATGAGATACTTACCAACAATAGCAAAATCTCATTACTGCTCAAGTGCAAATCGATGTGTACAGCACTGGCCTAGAGGGCTGTCGAGCAGAGCTCAGATCTGCAAGAGCCCTCCCTAATTAGAATGAGTCTTAGAGGACAGTAAGATCTGAGTGTTTCATATCCCTGAGACTTTATAAAAACTCTCTCTTCCATTCCAGTGAATTTAGTCTTCTCAGTGGTAAACTGAGTCCAAGAAAAGGGAAGTATCTGTCTAAATCTCCTATGGTTTCTGATAAAAGCCAATTCAAAACTCTTGAGTGGTACCTAGTTCAGCAGTCTAGGTAAACCTTCCAAAAAAAAAAAAAGCTAAATGTTAGTATCCAAACCAGCTGCTAAGTGGAAATAACACAATTAGTGCAAATACCTGCATTTACATGAAGACTTTCTGCCAAGAAAGCTTTGCAAACTGAACTTTGCAAATTAATTGTATTGGAATAACACCCCCTTCAAACCACTCCCCCTAACCAAGACCACCACGTGTACACTGGAATCACAACTGGAAAGCACATGATAAGAGTTCTGAATGCACCATGATTGGGAATAAAGTATGTCTGGAACTGTGGGAATAATTTTAATATGTCAAAGTGTCAGGAAACAGAACCAGATTGGGACTGTAGGTCTCATGATCAAATGTATGGACTGGGCCACAGGCTACAAAGACAACGAATGAAACTAATAAGTGACTAAGTCCATCAGAATTCATAACATTCTACAGTGCTGAGTGGCCTCCTATTGCACCATGGATTATACATTCAGATGATAGCTCAGTTCCAAGACCTGTAATATTTGCATAAAATTTATCAAACAAGAATATATTGTGGAGTGAAGATATTAAATCAGATTCAATCTAGCCTGAATGAAGTCAGGGCTAAGGTGTTGAAATAAATTCTAACGAAACCCCAAATTAACTCACGGTACTCTAAGGCCAACATTTTGTTTTAAAAATAAACCAAAGGTATCCATTAAAAAAATAACAATGTCATTTTCCAAATTTTCCAAAGATACTTTGCATTGCAATTCAAAATAATAGAATAAAATAGCATAACCACCACTACCACTTAGGGGAGGCATTTGGTTCATTTGTTTAGTGTATATTTATTGAACACTTAACATGCCTTTATGTGCTCAGAATATAGTAGTAGATTATATCTGTAACCTCTAATGGTGGATTACTCAGTAGATTACATTGCTGGCCTCATGCCTCTCAAATTGTCATGGAGAAAGAGCCAAAAAATCTGGGAAATAAATAAATGCACACATAACTTTTAGACATTAAAGTTATTTTAAAGCAGAGGTTGGCAAACCATGGCCTGCAACCTGTTTCTGTTTTATTAGTCCACAGCCATTCTCATTTTTTCCCCCCATGCATTGTCTTGGGCTGCTTTGGTGCTACAGTGGGGAGTTGAGTAGTTGTAACAGACACCGTGTGGCCCACAAAGCCTAAAGTATTACCTATCTGGCCCTTGACAGAAAAAAATGTGCTGACCTCTACAAAGAAACCAAAGTGCCTGGGGTGTGCAGTTGAGTGTCTGGGAAAGAGTCAGGAAGACGGTGGCATTCGAGTTGAGACCTGTGTATGAAGGAGCCAGTCATCGGAAGCAATGTGCTTTAGACAAACAGAACAATATGGCCATTTTGGTGTTTTTTGTTTGTTTGTTTCTAGCACAGTATTGCCATCAAGATGATGAACAAGTTGCCGGACTATCCCATTAAGCAAACATCAAGAGGTGAAATAAACACAAAACTTTCAGCTTGTTCCTTGTGCAAGGTGATGAACGAGCATCTGAGTCTCCTCTGTGTTCTCATTCAAAAGAGGCAGGTGGGTTCTACATAGTTCAACAAGCAACTGTCCAAAGAAGGAATGCGCTGGCCCATGCCTGGATAACAGCCTTCACTTTTTATGGTCAAGGATTAGAGCAAAAACTCTACTTTCTTGAGCAAGTCTTTCTCCTTGCTTTGACCGGGATGAACTCATCCTCGTCTCCAATTAGGATTCTCTTTCTCTCCCCTCCACGCCGCTGTGCTGATACAACACACCTGCTTGAACCTTGCTGGGGATACATCTTTTCTCAGCCAGGTATTCCAATATCACTGGGGGAGAGCAGGAGAATCCAGACCAGGGAATCCAAGTGAACAAAATAATGAGGAAGGACATCCAGCCTCTCTAAAGGGAAGCGCTTGTTTATTTCTCCCTGCACCTTACGTGCTCGCTGTTGCTGGAGCAGGTAGATGCCTGACTGGCCAGAGAGCACTGCTCTCTTCCATGTCCCCAGGCGGGACACTTTCCAGTAGAAGTTAAAAAACCCACTTCGCCTCTTGTGCAGTATCTCACACCAAGGTCCCTTTCACTCTCCGTTCTAAAACCATATTTGAAACTATTTCCAGTGGAAATCCGCACTTAGCAAGCATATCCTTGCCCCTATTAAAAACCTCATGCTCCAATTTCAGATCTTTCCACGATACTTGCGGTGGTCTTGGATGGATAAATTAAATCTGCTTTTCTCCTGATTGCCTCGCTGGCCCTCTTTGTAACTTCACTTTGTATTCCTTTCTGTTCAATACTTTTCAGAGTACTGAGAGTTTAAAGAGGTACAATAAATCCCAGATCAGTTTTTAATGACCACGGTAAGCCTGCTTGTAATATGTCAGTAAGCTGAACCTAAAAGCCAATGGGGAATAGGCCATTTCTGCCTTAGTAATTGCCTCCACAGAAAGATTTATAATGTCATTATCTGAATCTATAAGAAATAACTCATGGAGCTGAAATACCCTAAAAAAATATTACAATTCTCTTAAAATCTAGTCATTCATAAATGCTAAATCATAAAACTTTTTTCAAGATGTTTTATGTTAAAAGTAAAACCCAGTAAAAATATAAATGCTCGTTTCTTAATCAGATTCTTCATTCTTTATGTATCTGTTTGTAGCTTTGCAGTTTTCTGGGATATATTTATAAACCTAACATTGGGCTGCCAGAGTCCCCAACCACTACAAGAAGCTATGGCATCTGAAAAGGCATTTCTCCTCACCTTTTTATCTCTGTGTGATACCAGGGAGTGAGGAGGAAGAGGGCTCATTAGCCTGGCAATAAAATTAATTTCAGCAATAAAAGTCACCTTTCCCCCTAATTTCTCCATGGAAAAACACATACACACACAGACTAAACTTGCTGCCAAATGCACCACTGAGCTGTTTTAAGCCATTTCTGCAGCTTTTCTTCCCCTTTAATATGTCCAAATTAAAAAAAAAAAAAGAGAGAGAGAGAGAGAGAGAGAGATCAGTCACTTCTTTCAAATAGCAGGAAACATCCTCCTCAATTTGTCCGGAGTTTAATAAAGTCTTACTATTGCCATGTCTTCTCGCTTCCCTATGCCATAAAATAAAGCAACATTTATACTAATTTCTGCAGTGCTAAAATGTTCTTTGGAGGAGAGAATCTATTACCATTTTAAAATGACACTTCAGATGTTTTTTTTAATTTGTAAAGTCATATTTTCTCCCTTAAAACACAGTAATTTGCCACAAACTTGAACACTGAATTGAGATCCTTCCAGGATTCCCTCTTCGTCCATTAACCTACTCCAGGTTGGGAATTTTCTCTACGTTTTTAATATCGAAGACAGCTAGGCCTTTGAGGGGAGCGGGTCTATGCAGAAGGTGATTTAAAAGCATTTGGAAAGAAAATGAACCGCGTGTCTTTTGTTTGCCATCCCTATTGCTCCTTGCTGAGCTGGCATCATCGTTCCATTTCATGATTATGATTTTCCATTTTGACATATCTAGAAATGGTAACTTTCACGTATTTTAAGGTATCTTGAGTCAACATACCCAAAGCTGAACTGACCTTCCTCCCAGGAACCTGCTTATCTCAGTAAATAATACCACTTACTTGTCTGTTTCCTAAAAACCAGAAACCTAGGAAGAAAGGCAAAAAACACTTTGTCTCCTTTTCCCTCACCACCTGTATCCAAAGAACCACCAAGAAAAAAATTCACCTCCACATGTCTCCCAGATATAAATATTTTCTTCTCTCCCTACCTCTCCACCTTAGTTAGCTCATCTGGGCTATTGCAACTCCTTCCCAATGATTGCTGTAAATATGTACATATGTTAATATATATAAAAAACAAGATAGAGTCGCTAGTGAGGAAACAAAAAAAAAAAAAAAAACTATATATGAGAGCTATGAGGAACATATACCAAAATCATACCACAACACTTCCAGGAGGTGGAATAAGAGTTTAGATCTAAATGCAAAGAAGGAATTGGTCAATTGATTACTGAAAAATGCAGAGGAAGAGAGGTCCAAGCCAGAGGCCAAGAAAGTACAGGGCTCCTTTGGTACAAATAAGATTTGTGTGTTCAAGAAAGAAGACAGTATGGCTGGAACATAGTGATTTTTGAGCAAAGATGTCAAAATTGAGGCCAAGGCCAGATCACACAAGGTCATGGGTGATGGTTCATTTTACATGTCAACTCGACTGGGCTAAGGGATGCCCAGATAGCTGGTAAGACATTATTTCTGGCTGTGTCTGTTAGGATGTTTACAGAAGAAATTAATATTTGGATCTGTAGACTGAGTAAAGGAAATCACCTTCCCCAATGTGGGTGTTCCTTATCTTATCCATTGAGAGCCCGAATAGAACAAAAAGGTGAAGGACAGGCCAATTAGCTCTCTCTTCTTGAGCTGGAATGTCCATCTTCTCTCACCCTCAGACATCAAAGCTCCTAGTTTTTGGGTGTTTGGACTCCGGTACTCAAGCCTTCAGACTTGCACTGAATAATTCCACCAGCTTTCCTGGTTCTGCAACTTGCAGATGGCAGATGGTGAGACTTCTCAGCTTCTATAATTGTGTGAACCAATTCCCGTGATACATAAGTCTATCTATACTTACATCTATACCTATACTTATGCCTACACCTATATCTACATTGCTGTACTATTGGTTCTATTTCTTTGGGGAACCCTGACTAACACATCATGTAAGCTGCAGCGTAAAATGTAGGAAACCATCTGATAGTTTAAAGTGAGTGAACAACATGATCAGACTTTTATGTTAGAAGAATCAGTCTGTCCACTTTTAGAGAGTGGATTAGAT